TCATTTGCCCGAGGGTGGATGTAAACAACTGTGACAAACAACTGTGGGAACTCGCGAGGCAAATACTGAGGTGCAATGCCACAGACAACAGTTCAATATCTTCCGTGCATATTTTCTCCATGACAGAGACAGAATTGACATTGCACCAGTTCTCACGAACATACAGACATACCCCACCTCCTTTAATTTTACCGGTTTCACTTGCATCTCGGTCCATGCGAACAGGCACACCAAAGTAATCCAGCCCTAACCCCGAATCTGAGTCCTCCTCGCCCAGCCAAGTCTCCATGAGCGCCAGCAAACAAACATTCCTGAAATCATGCTGGAACTTCATCAACGCTTGAAGCTCGTCCGTTTTTCTCCGTAAGATCTGCACATTAGCCAATATGATAGTAGGAAGAGGGATTTTAGAAGGGTTTAAATTTTTCAGTCTCTGACGAACACCTCCCTTCCGTCCTCTTTTCCGAACTTTAAATGTTTGTTCGAGGCCATTTCCTCTTTGTTTAAAAGGAGAAATTTAAGTTATTTAAGAAATTTAAGTTAATTTGAGTTAAAACATAATTCCCCAATTTGCTTTATGTTATTTGGCTTGTGCCATTGTAAAAGAAACTCCCGGGAATACTGAATCCTTGCCGAGTCCCTAGGTGTTTCAAACACGCACATACACAGGCGGATCAGGGTCCATAGCACGATAACTCCTATCTTCTCCATTTACTCCTCCACTTGAGTTTCCTTGGAGGAGGATATTGCTCAGATATTCGCTTACGTTTTTATATGATTTAAAATGTTAATGTAAAAGAAGGGAGACTTGTAACACACACACACGCACGCCGACACTTGTAGCTGCGTGTCGCTTCATGCGCAGCGCCACAAAACATTAAGCATGTTAATCTCAAGTTGGATCTAATTTAATATATATTTTTAAAATCATTTAGTAAATTTTTTTCTTTCATATTAGATTTAACCTAAATTTAATCAACATATAACATATTTGCCTCATGTTAATCTTAAATTTAATCAACGTATTCTAATTTAATAAAAGTTGATCTAGGGTTAGAGCTTGTATTTACACTAAATTTAACAATTAATATGGTAATCTAAAAATTTTTTTCTTGTAATAATCTAAAAATGAATCCAGTTTAAGCTCATTTTAATGCTTCATTTAAATAAAATGGTATAATAACAGTCATATTAATGCATTGGTATATTAGTTATAATACTTGGATATTATTTAATTGTACTAATCTTAAACTGTAAATATATTAGTTTACCATCTTAAATATTGCATTTTTGCTGACATTGTTTTAATAAATGACTACATTAATGCAATTAATCTGTTTTCTGCGCTCTCCAGCTCGCTGTGTGAAGCCGCCAGTAACAGGAACCTGTCCCGGCAGTCAAACCAAATGGTATTACAATCCAAACAAGCGTCTCTGTTACCGCTTTAACTACGGCGGCTGTGAAGGAAATCAAAACCGCTTTGAAACTGAGGCCGGCTGCATGACGTTCTGCAGCGGAGTCACCGGTGGGTTTTCTTCTACTGTTGCCTCTTAAATGAGTGTTATTAGTGTTTAAAGGGCTCACGAACTACTACTTCACTGTCTGCGGGGTCTTAAAATGTTTAATTAATTTAGAGAATTTTAAGGCCCTTTGAAAAGTATTAAATGTTATTTTACAGGGTATTAAATTATTATACAATGTATGGTTATATTCTGAAGCTTGCCTAAATTTAATCACTGAACATTGTAATGCTGTGGAGTTAATGGAATTGATCAAATCTTGCTGGATTTGACATCACATTGCTTCGTTTACAAGGCAGCGCTGCTACTCCAGCTGTTCTATAGCTGCCCCCTGCTGTTTTATTCAGTATATCTGCTGTTGCCACTGGCTTGCATGGTTCAGGATCTGAAAAGCTGCGCGTCGATGAATTTGTTCTTCAGTGTTTGGACTCTCAGTAATGATTTCAAACCACACTGATCTGAGCTAAACTGAACTGAACTTAAACACTAAAACTGAACTACCCTGATCCAGTTACTATGACCATTTATGTGAAGCTGCTTTGACACAATCTACATTGTAAAAGCGCTGTACAAATAAAGCTGAATTAAATTGAATATATGAATAATGTTTTAGTTTTGAATTATAATCAGTATTAAAAGGTCATGACACGCCCCACTTTCAGTTCAGGTCCACCTCAGAATTTTTTCAAAAGATGCATCATAATGGGCGTGGAGCTCCGCGAGCAAAGGGCAATAGTGGGCATTGTCAGCAGGGGAGTAGGAGGGGCATGGACAACTGTTGCCAGTCGCTCACAAAACGAGACACGAACAGTGAGGAGACGCATGATTTTATAGTTTACAAAGTTAAGAAGCAAAGAAATAAACAGTGATTTAATGCCCTGCTACATCTGTTATTCATAATTTCATTTACAGATAACCACAATTTATATCATTATAAAGATAATCGTGTTCATTTAAACACTATAAATGAGGATTCTCCCTCAATCCCCGGGTCTGAATGCAGACTCAGTGCAGCAGGTCTCTTGCCCTGTCTATTTTAACCATTAGCCCTGCTGGTAATCTGGAGGATTTAGGTGAACACAGCAGCACGGCGATGTGTCTAAATGTGAACGAACTCCTGATAAAAGACAGCGTCCGCCATTCTCCAATTCTCATACTGCTCTCCTGACAAAAACGCTTGCAGCACACACACAGCTTTGCTGTATGATCGGCCCTGACAGCATCACGGGGAAAAACATGCAGCAAACCCCGTGGATCATGGAAACAAACGCATACAACCCTTATGAACGGCTAAATACTGTGTGCCGTGAGTCCGTGTCTCACAGCTCGGCACTGGCAGGTGCCCGGAAGCTGAAATTATCTGACTAAAGCTTAACATTATCCAGTTTTCCCCACAATTAAAGCTGACAGCTGCTAACATTGTGCTACCTGATGCTCAACACACACACATCTGTTAACATCTCAAAAAGAGTACTCGAGGGTTTCGTGAACCTTTAATCTCTCGTAGCACGGAAAGCATCCATTGTAATCTTATGAAAGTGTTATGAAGAATAAAACACATGCTTGTGTTATTTCAGAAAATGATAAGTTTCCCGAGGAAAGTCAGTTCGATAAGCAGGAAGGCAAGAGCAACAACACAGGTAACACTGCACTAAACATGCCATAAATAACAGCATTTCAGTTCCTTCAATACAGCATTCAATACAGTCTGGGTGATTCATAATTAACTGAACCAAAGTTATATGCTATGTTGCTCCGTCTCTGGCTGCGTCCGAAACTGCATACTACTCAGTAGGTACTGCATTTGAATTTAAACGTACTACTCGGCCGTTAGAAAAGTACGTTCTATACAGTATGAATGTGAAAAGTATGAATGGAATTCGGACGTACTACAGCCGCCATTTTGTCATGGTCACGTGACCTACCTGCGTCAGTTGCGTCGCTTCACTTCCCTTTATGAATTCTCTCGCGGGGCATTATGGGATAGCGTAGCATGCATGGGATGTGCACTCCGGAATCTCGCCGGAAGTAGTAAGTCATCCGGGTACTTCTCGCATACTGATTTTCGAATTCTGTGAATTCAGACATACTACTCGGCTCGCATACTGATTTTGGCGTACTATATACTATGGAAGTATGCGGTTTCGGACGCAGCCTATGTATAGTATGAATGTGAGCAGTATGAATGGAATTCAGATGTACTACATCCACCGTTTTGTCATGGTCATTTGGTTGCATCACTTTAGTCCCATTAATGAATTCTCTCGCGGGGCATCATGGGATAGCGCAGCGTGCATAGGATGCGCACTTTAGAATTTCGCCGGAAGTAGTAGGCAGGGCCAGACGGAATCTGCGGATGTTTTTTTGCTATTTCTCCTGAGAATTTTGGTAAAAATCTGCGGATTTCTGCGTAATTATTTTGTGAGTATCATAACTAAAACCTTAATATATGAAATAAAAAGGAAAAAATTACTGAATAAAAACTGAATAAATTCAGATTTACACATTTACTCAAGTAGATAAAAAGATTTAATGCGGTAAATCTGCGGTAAATCTGCAGAATTCTGCGGTAAATCTGCGGAATTCTGCGGTAAATCTGCGGAATTCTGCGGTAAATCTGCGGAATTCTGTGGTAAATCTGCGGAATTCTGCGGTAAATCTGCGGAATTCTACGGTAATTCTGCGGTAAATCTGCGGAATTCTACGGTAAATCTGCGGAATTCTGTGGTAAATCTGCGGAATTCTGCGGTAAATCTGCGGAATTCTACGGTAATTCTGCGGTAAATCTGCGGAATTCTACGGTAAATCTGCGGAATTCTGTGGAATTCTGCGGTAAATCTGTGGAATTCTGCGGTAAATCTGCGGAATTCTACGGTAATTCTGCGGTAAATCTGTGGAATTCTGCGGTAAATCTGCGGAATTCTGCGCGCGCAGATTCCGTGTGGGCCTAGTAGTAGGTCATTCGGGTACTTCTCGCATACTGATTTTCGAACTCTATGAATTCGGACATACTACTCGGCTCGCATACTGATTTTAGCGTACTGTATAGTATGGAAGTATGCGGTTTTGGACGCAGCCTGTCTTATTTATTTATTTTATTTTTTATCAGTTTTTACAATCATGTATAAAAAAACAAAATAATTTAGTAATAATTTAATATTAATAATTTTCCAAAGTTTTATTTTTGATTATTTTATTTATTTATAAGCTTATTTCATCCCAAGTAACAAAACGTAATTTATCATTTAAATTCATATTTATATTATGATAATATAATAACCATGATCAGAAGTCAAAAATACTGACATCTCTGTTTTCAGTTGCTATTGTGATGGTAATCATCTTGGCCTTCGCTATCGCCATCCTGCTGGTCATCATCGCCTACTGCCTGGTCAAAGGCCGAAAGAAGAGTCGGAATAAACACCAGCAGCTGGCGGTAAACGGCGGACACATTTACAGATACGAGGACTCAGAGAAACTCGTCTACAACAGCACAACCAAACCCATCTGAACCCCCAACCTGTGAAACGATACACCTGTATCTGCAGTAATTATCTGAGCTGTTTCCAGTAGACTGTGCAGCATTTACTCCCAGCTTGCTTTGTTTTAAGTTTGTATCACCAGCAGCTTTTCTTAGGAATGCTGTGAATGTTTGTTTTAAGTTTTTATTGCTATGAATATGATTTACTGATTTATATTTTAGGTTTGTTGGATTTTGCTCAGGGGTAAATGTGTTTTTATTTTCCACCATGTTACCATAAAACATTAAATCACTATTCTTGAGCCATTTAGTTTTATTTTTGGATTGTTTTGGTCTGTCAGAGATGCTGCCTGTCTTCAGTTAATCTTTAAGCCATGTAAACTTTACTTTACTACTTAGAAATTAGTATTTTAGTATGTCTAAGACCTGAGATATCAATCTATGGTTTGTTTTTTTTATGTTTTTTTTATGTATATGTATTTTTAGTATATTTTTTTGGATGTGGAAATGACAATCATGGTGATAAATACATATTCCAAAACGCAAATTTGTACATAGATTTTTTTTTTTTAAATATGTATCTAAAACTTTCCCTGATGTCTAAACTACTAATCTTCAAAAGTCTCAATAAAAGTAACATGTACAGACTCTGTGTGTGTTTTTTGAAATTGTTATATATACACACTCACCGGCCACTTTATTAGGTACACCTTACTAGTACCAGGTTGGACCCACTTTTAGATTAAGAACTGCCTTAATCAACAAGCTACTGGAAATATTCCTCAGAGATTTTGCTCCATATTGACATGATAGCATCACACAGTTGCTGCAGATTTGTCGGCTGCACATGCATGATGCCAATCTCCCGTTCCACCACATCCCAAAGCTGCTCTATTGGATTGAGCTCTGGTGACTGTGGAGGCCATTTGAGTACAGTGAACTCATCGTCATGTTCAAGAAAGCAGTCTGAGATGATTCTCGCTTTATGACATGCTGCGTTATCCTGCTGGAAGTAGCCATCAGAAGATGGAGACACTGTGCTCATAAAGGGATGGACATGGTCAGCAGCAATACTCAGGTAGGCTGTGGCGTTGATGCTCAATTGGTACTAATGGACCCAAAGAAAATCTCCCCCACACCATTACACCACCACCACCAGCCTGAACCGCTGATACAAGGCAGGATGATCCATGCTTTCATGTTGTTGAGGCCAAATTGTGAGCCGAGCATCTGAATGTGTCAGCAGAAATGGAGACTCATCAGAGCAGCAACGTTTCTCCAATCTTCTATTGTCCAGTTTTGGTGAGTCTGTGTGAATTGTAGCCTCAGTTTCCTGTTCTTAGCTGACAGGAGCGGCACCCGGTGTGGTCTTCTGCTGCTGTAGCCCATCTGCCTCAAGGTTGGACGTGTTGTGTGTTCAGAGATGCTCTTCTGCAGAGCTCGGTTGTAACGAGTGCTTATTTGAGTTACTGTTGCCTTTCTATCAGCTGGAACCAGTCTGGCCATTCTCCTCTGACCTCTGGCATCAACAAGGCATTTGTGCCCACAGAACTGCCGCTCACTGGATATTTCCTCTTTGTCGGACCATTCTCTGTAAACCCTAGAGATGGTTGTGCGTGAAAATCCCAGTAGATCAGCAGTTTATAAAATACCAGCCCATCTGACACCAACAATCATGCCACGTTCAAAGTCCCTTAAATCCCCTTTCTTCCCCATTCTGATGCTCGCTTTGAACTGCAGCAGATCGTCTTGACCATGTCTACATGCATAAATGCATTAAGTTGGTGCCATGTGATTGGCTGATTGGAAATTTGACGAGCAGTTGGACAGGTGTACCTAATAAAGTGACCGGTGAGTGTATTACGAACAGGTCGTTGTATTTAAAAAAAAAAACCTGCAGGTGGCGCTATGAACTTTACACAAAACAATCGTTTTTCCAGCGTTAATTATACAGCTTTAATACGTTTAACAGCCACTATATAGACATATTTGGTTAAATTAAACTTTCCTTTACAACACAACGGACAAACACAAACTACAAACCTTGTTTTTCCTAGTTTTGAGGCAAACAACGATTCCTTTTTCGTTAACTAAGAGATTTAGTGTTAATTACACGACACACATAAACCCTAGAATGTGTTTATATTATATATTTTGTCTAATAATTCCATATATCAAATCTGAATAATAAACAAAAATGTGATTTTCCAGCCTCTTCGTTAAGATGATAACAGTCGCCTGTGATTGGTCTAACCCAATCACGTGATGGTTATATTTTTGGTTAGTCTGCTTTTTTAATAATAATTTCCAATTCAATATTTACTAAAATATGTGTAACATATTTAGTCTTTAAGCGATAAGAATAGAGTTCCTCCATATACACATAAATACGATATCTGTATGAAAAAAAGTAATCAAAAGCTGATGATTGGGCAATCTTGACAGCGCTGAGAAAAGTAATGACTATTACATGACCGCGCTTTTCCTTCATCAGTTGTCTAAATTAGAAAATAATACTAAAACTGTTAATATATATCGGATCAAAACTACTACGTGGACACACATATATTGATAAGATCCATTTATACTTGTTAAAATTATTTAAAAGAAACTTTTTGGCGAAGCCCCGCCCACTACAGTTTTTTGATTGACTCATTCCCGCTGCTTCAGTTTTGCGAGATTCAGTCGAGTTCAGTCAGATGGAATGATCACGCTGGGAGTCTTGTAGTTGTGCAGCCGGAGAAAATAAACATTTATAAATGTCCACGAGGAGCAAATGAACTTTTGGACGTCTTAACAAACAAGGAACTCAGTCGGTGAGTGCTTTTGTCTTTATTCACAGTCTCATAGCTGTTGTTTGTGATGCGTGGAGCCGCAGAGAACATCAAGTAACGTTACATCAAACTTACAAACAGTTGCTTTCTTAGTCTTTAACGACAATATATGTGAATATGAAGGAGTTTGCGTGTGTTTTATATTGTTTACAGTGTTCCCATGTCTTGTTTTGGGGAAATATGTTGCGCATTGTTTGTTGTTTTTAATAGTATTTATATTTATTAAGGTTAAGTTGGTTTTAAATTCGCACATTCATTCAGTGACAACCTGTGACACCCTCCCTATATTGTTTACCATGATGCTTTTGAATATTTGGTCTGCATTTTTTAAACATGCCTTCATTAATCATGATAAACATTTTCATCTTTTTATTTTGGACTAGGCAAGTTTATTTTGTCTTTTACTTGCACATCTTTTAGTTAGTAATGTTAGTTATTTTATTTCAGAGCCTTTGGCCTATGCAGTTGTGACAATGCATTTGTGTAGAGAGTAATAAAACAGAATATATTTTACAATATTGGTCAATTTATTTATATTCTTTCCGTAAGACATGCAACTCTCTAGATCCATAAAAGGACAATACACTTACATTTCCGAAGCTGAAATTAATATTTTGGATTAATTAGTGTAATTTATTGCTGTATTTGAGGATTTCTGATTACATATAATTGTTGTATTGAATAGATTTTATAATTTAAGATGCCTTTTCTTTAACACACATACATCATATGTTTAACATATTGTTATTGTAGAAATTAAAGTATGTATTTGTTTATTTTTTGAAGGTTTATTGTTGTAGATTTTTTAGTGCATTTGTGTTTTTACACAGAAATATACTGTTGATTTTAGGGTAATTGCTTGCTTGAAGTTACAGTACTTTTTTTTATTTATTTCACAAAAAATAAATATTATTTTTCCTGTAACAAATTGTATTTTTTACATATTGAGAAAGTAAAAATGAAAGCTGTGTACTGTTTCTTAAATTACAGTGATTAAATGTATTTAATACAGTGTTATACTGTTTTGGTGTAAATAGTCTTTTACCGTTTACAGTATTTTACTTTAGTTTTTACTGACATTTTTTTTACAGTGTAGTAGAGAAATGCTCTGTGTGAAGGAAAAGGGTGTGATATTTTGACAGACTGTGATAAAATGCATATGAGCAGTATTAATGAAGAAATTAGACTAATATTTTATCCACCTGTGCAAAATTGACTGTTGTCAAGACTCTTGCCACAGACAGCTTTTGTTGTTGTTGTTGTTGTTGTTTCTCTATTTCTGCTTGATTTGTGGTTCATTTTTGTCAGTCAGTCTATAATCCTATAAAACATTTGTCAGTCTATCTAAATGCCCTTTCTGCTTCAAATCTGAATCTTTTGATTCAGCCCGTATAAAGGGTATTAGCCAATCAGTACAGCCCAAAACCTGACAATAATTGATGATTTTCAGCAGCAGTAATCAGCTAAATGTGACTTTGGTTTAGTTAACAGTGGCTTTGTTTACATTCTGCTCTCCAGTTGACACATCATAAAACCTATTTTAAGGATCACCTTAAAGCCCACACAAAGTTTAGTTCTCTTCTGATCTTGGCTGTGTTCGAGTTCTTGATTTGCTGTTTAATTCTTCTTTATTATATGCATTTTGAGCTTGTGTGTATTTGGGTGTTATTCAAAGGGATAGTTCATGCAAATATTAAAATGTACATGCAATTGAAGATCTAGGTGACTATTATTCTTCTGTAGAAGGAAGAGTTTTAGCTGGATTCGTGGTCATTGGTGATTTTATTATTGTCAATTTATTATTTATTAGTTACCAAAACACAGAAAAAATGATTCATTGTATTTACTGTTTATTTTAAGGTAACTGGTTGCAAACATTATATATGGGCTGAATTTAGTAAATTAAATGTAGTAATGTTCAACTAAGTTTGTTTATATTTAGCCTATATAAATAGTTTGCAACCACTTATCTTTATAAAAAAAAAATATCCAATGAATATTTATTTATCAGTGTATAATTGCCTTTGGTTGCCCATTTTCCCACTAACATTTAAGCTCTGTTGAACATGTTGTTGAATACCACTGATTGGCCATTGAGTTTACATGATGGATCAGCTGATAGACGCGACTTTTACACACTCCAGTGTTTGTGTATTTGTGTTTGCACAAAGAATAACTAATCACATTGTTATCTATGGAGCATGTGAACACAATGGCTAATCAGCTGTGTTTAAGTTCCTGCTTAAGAGTTAGCAAACAATGAACTGTTTTACATTTTCAGTATTGATTAGCTTTAAACTTGATAGTCAATCAGTCTTTCGCTCTTGATGGCCTCAGCAATCATCTGCTCTTAGGCCATACTCACTATGCTATCCGAACCGTGCCCTGGCCTGTTTCCCGGATCGTTTCAGAAGTGTGAGTGCTCTGAATCGGGCTCAGACACTGTTCAGTCGGCCGGCCCTTGCCCAGTTGGAAGAGCTGTGCCAGAACGTGGTTCACTGGGGCTCACTTGTAGTGTATGTGCAAAGCGCGCCTCAGCCCGAAACTGAAGACAAGACATGACTTTAAGGGACTGTTTCATATGTGTTTATCAAACATTCTTAGTGTTTAATGAACCAAACTGTCATAGATTATTAAAGACGCAAACCCCTCACTGCACGACAGCTACACCTACAGCAAACCTCCTAATTCCTGCATAGGGCTGGGCGATTTGGCAAAAATAAAAAATCTAGGTTTTTTATAAAGTTTGACTGATTCACGATTTCGATTTTTTTTTTATTATTGTGTTACTAGTCTTCTCAAAACATTACAACA